CAGCAGCAGCAGCAGCAGCAGCAGCAGCAGCAGCAGCAACACACGCCCAAGTGGATACACTGACGGGGATGTGCGGCACAGCTTAGTTACATGAACGCGGATGTGACACATTGTCATCTTTTCCTCCTTGTTTGTTTTCATTTGTTATCGGCTTTTTCTTTCCTTTGCTTTGTTTGGTTTTTTGTTTCCTCCTCTCCCTCGTCCTGCGGTGCCGGTTCTTCTCCGTCACCCATTCCCCGTGTTGCCGCCGTCTATATATATATATGTATATATTCGTCACATTTCCCTTGGCGCTACTCAACGCCACTTGGCGTGCACAAAGCCACCAGTAACAATACATACCTTGCTGCTTCCCCTTTCGTTTCTTTTTCTTTTTCGGCTTCTTTTCTTTTCTTTTTTGTTACTTCTACTCGCATGTGTTGCTCCCCGTTTCTTTCCCTCCACCTCTCCGTCAAGGATTATACATGCAGAGGCGGCGTGAATGGGGAACGAGAGAGAAAGAGAGAGAGTGAGAGAGAGTGAGATGCAGAGCCGGTGTCCCGCCCCGCTCATTGAGGTTGCCGCTTGCCCGCTGGGCTGTGAGAAGCGGGGAGACAAAATTTACATCGGCCGCCTCCCCCGGGCCCCACCCGCCCAAGAGCGACGCACGCAGGCCGCAGGCGATGTGCTGCCAGGGACCCTCTGAACTACCTGCCGCCTGGGACGGTGGATGCGCCGTCGGTGGCGCCGAGGGTTCCCTGCTGGATGCGGGCGGGGGCGTTGTCACCCGGGTGGTTCTGCGGCAGCCGGTTCACAAACGGCTGCAGCCGGCTGCCCATGACGCGCGGCCGCATCGTCTCTACGGGGCGGTTGCAGCCGAGGCAGCGGAAGCCCCGGAATCCCGCGAGGGCGTCCGGCACCCCGCCCCCAATCTGCTCCTCGCTGACGAGGCGGCGGAGGTGGTCCATGTCGTGCTTCGTGGCCTTCCCATCCAGCAGGTCGCGCAGCACGTTGAGGGACTTGTCCAGGGTGTCAATGAGGCCGGCGTTGGTCGCGTTCAAAACCTGCTCCACCTCCCGCATCAGTCGCTCAAGTGCGTTCTCCACGTAGTCGCGTTCAGCCTTGTTCGCCACAAGCATGGCATCCGCCTTGCGGTGGTCGATCTGCTCCACGTAGTCGCGCAGCGCGTCCAATTCATTCGTGGTGCCGTCCCGCACCTGGTTGAAGTTCTGCACATGCTCCGCAATCTGCCGCTGCAGCTGCTGCATCAACTCCTCCTGCAGCGCGGCGGCCGAGCTGGCGGCTTCATCGTCCCCCCGCTTCCCCGCCCCGAGCTCCAGCAGCTGCCGCAGATGCTTCAAGTCGTCGGTCAGCCGCTGCACCGCCGCCCTATCGGCCTTCCGCTCGTCAAGCTCCAACACATTCGCCTCGGCGCTGGCCATGCGACGCTGCAAATCATCCGCACGGCGCCGCAGTTCAGCCATAGCCGCAGCGTAGTCACTGGGGACCGCAACGATCGGAGACGGTGGCCGCTGCACCTCCTCTGCTGCCTCCCTCTCCGCGGGCGCCACGGGGGACGGAACTCGCGCGCCCTTGTCCTCCTTCTTTTCATCCAGAATTGCACACGTCTGCTGTAGCGCTGCCGTGTCTCGCTGCAACTTCGCCACATCCCTGCGCAACGCCTCCAGGTCGTTGTCGTAGTTGCGCAGACCCAGCCGCTGCAGGTCGGCCAGCTGCTTTTCCAGCGTGTCCACGGTTGCACCCAAGACGCCCAGTTGAGCCTGACTGACCCCCGTGTCGCCACCACCTGCGGTCGACGTGGCTCCGACCAGGCCGGTCATTTTGTTGCTCAGGCGCTCCAACGCCTGCTCCAGCGCCTGCATGCGCTCCTTCAACCCCTTAACGTCGTCCGGGAGCGAGTCCGGGCGCGTATCCTCGGCTGCCCTCGCACCTGCGGCGACCTCCCCCTGCAGACGACCTACGGCGTCCTCGAGGGCCTCCACGCGGCGGCGCAGTTCCGCACGCTCGCGCGCCGCATTTGGGTCGGTCGCCGCAGGCTTCGCCGCGTCCTCCGCTCCCGCGCTAACCGTCCGCATTAAATCGACGTCCGCGTGGATGACCTTCATCTCGTTCAGAATCTCCGCCACGACCCGGTTGAGGTGCTCAATGTCGGCGCCGTCCTGCTTCAGGCGAGCGTAGATGGAGGCGTCGGCGCCGGCCGCCGCCAACCGCCCCCTTGACTGCATCGCGGAGCTGCCGGAGCGAAGCACAGGGTCCACCCCGCCCCCCGCGAAGGGGTCTGAGCTCTCCACCGCGAACGGCGATTCGGCGCGCGCGGGGAAGGGCTGCCCCGTCCCACTCTCCGAGAGCCAGGGCGCGGCCAAGTCGCCCCCCGCGCCTTTTCCCTCGCTCAATCGCGACGCCACTCGCTGCTCCTCGCGCTGCTGCTTTTCCTCTCCCGCCGGCGTCGGAAGTTTTTCCCCGGACCCTGGGCGCCCCTGCTCCTCCTGCGCCCTCTCTTCGCCGCGACGCGGCGGCTCCACCGACTCGCCCGTGGCGGCGGCATCCTCCGGAAGCAGCGCCTCCTCCTCCACCACCACGAGTCGCTCCTTCGCGCGGCCCAAGATGGTCTCGCCCACCTCCGCCTCACTCTCCTCCGGCGCCCCCATCAGCTGCGTGACGGACGCCGCCGACTTTGCCCGCTGCAAGTCCGAAGTGCCGGCGACGCTGCCATGCCGCTTACGGGCCTGGTACAGCTGCTCAATGGTGTGGCGGCGACCCGATCGATGGGCTTCGCCCATGAGAACCTTTATGCGGTTGATCTCGTCCCACAGCGAGTGAAGGTCGATCGGGGGCGCCTCGCCCTGCGCCTCGCCCTGCGTCTCGCCCTGCTTCTCGCCCTTCGTCTCGCCCTGCGCCTGCGCAGCTGCCCGATTACGGAGCTCTTCCAGCTGTCGAAGCAGCTCCTGCTGCTGGGCCTCGCGCTCCGCATCCCGCCTCTGCAGATCCTCTACGGCCTTCCGCAGCTGACTGATCTCGTCGTCCTGTCGTTCGTTGTCCGCCTCCGCCTGCGCGGTGCGCTTGATGATCGTCTGGAAGAGCAGCTGCAGGGGCTCAAAGGACATGGAGAAGCTGATGAGCTTCGAGAGGTCAACCTCGCGCGAGGCATCCGCCACGTCGAAAGACATTTCCCTCAAGTTCTTCTAACGACAACTGCCACGATGACTCCGCGTGTTTCTTGTTGTGTTTTGCTACTTTTGCCCCTCAGTGCCCTGGTGTGGGTGCGCGTTTCTTCGTTCCCTGCCACGCTGTCGCGGCGTGTGTGTGGTGCGTAACTATTGTTGCTGGCTCACACAAACTTCAGTGCGCCCAGAAGTAAACCAGACAAAGACAAGAGAAAAAAGAAGAAAAAAAAAGCACAAACACACACACACAAAAAGCATAGAAGGTTTGCGCGCATGCGCTGAGGCAACAGACGAGAGGAGAGAAGCAACGACGGTGGCAAAGCAGGAAGAGGCGGCAAAGCGCAACGAAGGGGGAGGAAACACACACACACACAGGGAGATGTATATATATAAAAAGAAAGAAGAAGCCAAACGCACGCATGCATGCATGCATGCATGCATGCACACACTCGTTCTCTGTCTCCATCCCTTT